TTAGTGTCAGTGGAAAAAAAAAAATACTGAAAATAAAATGCTGGCTCCCCAGTGGGAGTCAGCGGTTCTCATAGTTGCGGCAGCTACTCACTGGTGGGGGTGGGGCAGGGGCAGGTGCTGCCTACCTGGGGTGGGATGTGGGCCAGTTGGGTGCGGAGGGAGGGCAGCTCCCTGCCGCTGTGCGCACCCCCAGGGGAGGTATGGGGGGCATGTGGGCCCCAGATCTGTATGCAGGGTGAGGGCAGGTTGCCTGCTGCAGGCCTGGGGCTGGAGGCATCACTGGCCTCTTCCCATCAGGGGGGCTAGGCCAGGGCTGCTCTTGGGGTGGGTAGGGGCAGGGCAGGTGGTGGTGGCCCTGTGAGGGAGGAGCTATGGGGAGACTATAACCACCTCAAAATTTGGTGCAGCTCCACCTCCCAGTGTTGCCTGCCCCACCTCTGTCTTGAGCACAGGCCCAGCCCAGCCCCTGACTGGAAAGAAGCTGTTCCAGCCTCTGGCCCTGAGCTCACAGTGGGCAACTTGCCCTTGCCCCATAAGTAAAACCAGGGGGCACATGTCCCCCGTACACCGCAGGGGTGTGCTCAGTGGGGGAGAGCCGCCCCACCTCCCCACCCCTCTGTGGCTCCTGGCTGGGCAGCGCCTCCACCCTGACTGGGCAGTGCCTGCTCCTGCCCCTGTCCGAGCCCCAGCCCCAGCCCCAGCCCCAGCCCCAGCGCCTCCCTCACCACAGGGGCCTTGATCTGCACCCTTATGCCCCTTATCCTCCACAAACTTACTGGCTGGACGCTAGTCTCCAAGCTGCTGGGCTGCATGTCGGCTATCAGACCAGTATTGGCTGATATAGCTGGTTTAGTAAGTGGCTAGCAGTATCAGCCAAAAAAATCTTTATTGGTACACCCCTAGTTTGTTCTGATGTATAAATAACTAAAATTTGTCGCTGTAAACTTCTTTTCTATATTTTATACTTAAAGTGAAATGTAATTATTATAGTTGTACTTTTTAAAAGCCATATATTGGTTTATGTTTTATTTTAGCAAAACAAGATCTTTTTCCAGATGTGTATTTACATATTTTTGCTTTGTTCTTCTTAAGTTTTTATAATAAATTGTTAAATGACTCTTTATAGTCTGTTGTGCAATCACAAATAACTATTGCATACTTTTTAAGAGGAGAAGTTGGAATAGGAGCTATCATTTTTACTTAATCAGTTTCTGTTTTTTCCAGATATAAACAATGTAAAACAGAGAGAACCAATCATGGGCAGAGTATGGTGGGAAGTTTCACTTTGTACATTATATCCAAGCCTAGGGATTTTGAGGCTTGGAAGTAGGGATATTACCGGTGACATATTTGATATTTTAGAATGCATTGAAGGTTTGTTTTTTTTTTTTCCAAAAGGCTTTGAAGTCATATTAGCTCTCCACTTTGTTTTGCCAACATCCATCAGCCATTACCTTGTCACGTGGGAGTAAAAGGATAGTTCAGTAGCCATTCATTCAGTCATTAACCAGTGACTGAATGAGTCTGCAGGCTGAACAAGGCTTTTAGCTCAAGGACTAATGAAGTTACAGTAGTTTTGAAAAAATGTAAAAAATATGCATATCTGCTGCACAAACTCTTGGAAGCTGACTTACAGTGCATGAAACTGAAATTTAGTGATTTTCTCTAATACTATTTTATAGTGTGTGTGTGTGTGTGTGTGTGTGTGTGTGTGTGTGTGTGTGTGTGTGTGTGTGTACACACTATAATATTTCTTGGCTACTGGTCTTACTGTAGCAGTTCATAGGGTTGCGAAGAGAGGCCAGAGGGGCTTGCTAGGAATGTTTGGCACTGGGAATGGAGTTAGTCTTCCAAGGCTTTCCAGAACTACCAGTGTTCTCTGAAACTGTAGACAAAGAAAGGATGTGGTTACAGAGCCTAAGATGAAGGGAAATGGGGTTTATGGGGCATTTTGGGGCCTTTTACTGTTACAATGAAACTGTTTTATAAGAAGATATATTTTGAGGGGGGAAAAATACTTCATTATCATAGGTTTCCCTTGTACTGTAGTCTAAAGGAAAAACATGTCCTGAATTATTACTAAAGTAATCTTAACTTCCTCCAGGGTACCATGTCTCGACTTGGGGAGACTGGGAGATTCTGATGAAGAGGTAATCTGAAATTGGCATAATATGCTTTAAAAAATTCATTTACTGTAGGAATTAGTCAAAGTTCTGTTTTGTTCCTGAAAAATTACAATTATTCTTTGTTCTGTTTATTTGAGGATGGAGACACTTATATACCATACAGCAAGGGGTATCCTTGTAAAGGCTCTACAGATTCATCTTCAACTGTTAGTTGGGGATCACCATTACAAACTCCTTATGCACAGCACTTCCGGACTCAACAGGTTAGTTTTTCCCAGTAGACACCTAAAAATATGGGGTCTTTCATTAGAGATGAAATAAATACAGCACATCCACATTTATAATACATATCATTTTTAAATATTAAGATCTGACTGTTAGTGGTCCAGGTTCTTTCTAATGAAGTGCTTTTTATTAAGAAGCTGCTTAAATACATCATACCTATTTCTTGTCTTCTATCCTGATTTATGCCCTAATTCTTTTAACTTTTGCAACTAAGAATTTGGGTAATAGCAGTTAGCGACATTAATAATTTGCCAAAAAACCTGAAATGAGTAACTACTAAAGTAGCTTTTAACTTGATTTGTAAGCCAATTTTAAGAAAATAATATGTAGGCTACTTTAATGAATTGTAGTAACTTCCTTATCAATATTTTTCTTCCTTTCTCTCTTAAACAGAATTGCAGTGTTTGTTTCAGAATACCTCTTAATTATCTGAGACCATGTACTTTTATAATGCCTTCAATAGATCATCTGTATTCATTCTTTTATATCCACACTGAGCAAGAAACTAAAATTATAAAATAGACCAACAATAACCGGTTATTATGCCAGAAAAATCAGAGATCCAGTTTTAACATACCACTTTCTGTATGATTATAGCACTGTTCAAAATCATTATTCAAAATAATAAAATTAAGTACGCATTTAACAATGACACAGCTGACAGTTGTTCTAGTTGTTGCTCTTTGAAAATGAAGTTTCCTTTGAATTATTCAATTAGATTAAATTTGGAAAAATGAATTTGACAAATTTGTTTGATTCATAATTTAAATCATAGCTGCCAAAATCTCTGCTTTAACTGTTCATTTGCTTTTCCATTAAACAGATGCCTGGTAAACCTTGTCAGAAGAAAATGGAGGTAAAGTAGCTTAAAAAATACACATTGCAGAAAAAAAATGACCTATTGATTAGTAGATAATTGCTCAGTTTTGATCTGAAAACTTAACATATTTAATACCTTTTGTATGACATGAAATGCTTGGTTGAGAAATTATTTTTTAATTGCTGTTTTCCTGTATAGCTATTATGATCCTTTTGCATGTTGCTAATGTATCAAGTGTGATATTTTATTGTTATTACAAGAGAAACAAACATTAAAATATTGCAGCAAATGTTATTTTTTTGGACATGAGTATCTTAAACTTTAAATCAAATTAGGATCTTAAGGATGAGAAGCATACATAAACCTAACTCTGGATGGGGAGGTATACATCCTCCTAACCACTTGGTATGTATCAGTTGGTGTTCATTTGCAGAATAATTAATGAGAAATGAATGCTGGGTACAACGTTGTTTAGAACAATTAACATCTTTTATTAATATTTAGTTCATTCAGCTAGTAACACAGCAATTCACGTTGACTAACTTTAACTGTGTGCATGCATGTACCGTATTAATTGACTGACTTTTAGGTTTGTAGACTAAATTAAAGCCCTAAAAAGCATATATCTCACTAGTATATTTAAAATGGCCTCAGTTAATCAATGTAAATTGCTGTGTTTCTTATTTGTGTTGATGCATATGTCAAATTTACAGAACAAAATCTCTATTACTGCACTAATTAGCAAAAGACTGGAATGACTTCGACTACCTCACAACCTCCTCTTTTCTTTTTTCCTTTATTTTCTCTCTCCCTGTTTATTGTCTTCATTCTTTACCAGATACCTTAGTGGTGGATGTGTTATAAGAGCCTAAGTAGAATAGATCATCTTCTATTCATTCATCTTTCCTTACCATCTTTTTATTCCTTCTGAGTCTTGTGGAGAAAAGTAGTCAAGCTCTGCTGATATATTTTAACACATTCCTGTGAGTAGCCTTGATTTCTACAATGTTTCAGGTTCCTCAATTAACATTCATTTTGCAAATTATAAAAATAAAATAAAATTCAAACTCCCTGTGCAGTAAGCTTTCTGAGTGAATCCTCCCAAGAAAGGGTCAGTTTTAGAAGAGTAAATATAGACTTTTTTTCTTAGCCATTTCCACCAAACTCTGTTGTTTAAAAACTCCTGTAGGAACACTGAGAAATATCTTTCAATTGGAGCAAATTTCTCTTTCAAGGAAGATTCCCTAAGCCATTGAATGAATGTTGTTCTAGAACAGGACTGCTCTGCTCTGGCATGGCATCAGCTGGACCTGCTCTAATTTTATGTAACAGGACAGGGAAATAAGCTAAATTTGATCCATGCTAAGACCCAGTGGGTGCATCTACATGTGGTGATTTAAGGTGCATTAAGAGCACAGGTCTACATGTGTGCACCCTTAATGCACCTTAAAAATGGTGATTTTAGGCTAATCATGTCTAAATTTGATACCTGCATAAAGCAGGTATCAAATTTAGGCACAGTTAGTTAAGGCACTTTAACCCATGTGTAGATGTCTTAAGGTGCCTTAATGCTATGTGACTGAGTGGGCTGGAGCCAAGCACGTGGGGACCTGCACTCCTACTGGCGGTGCCAAGAAGAAGATGCGGTGGGTGCTGTTTTGGAAGGCTCAGACGCTCGAGCTGGAGCGATGCTTCTGGCAGCAGCAGTCCATATTGGTATGTGGTAAGTCAGCAGAGGGGGTAGCAGGCTTGAGGGCTCCTGTCAAAACACAAGAGAAAGGCTTCCCCGTGACTCTCTCTGCAGGGGACAAGGGCAGCGTAGTGCAGGCAGTGCCTTTGCTAGAGGCTCCCCTGCACCTCTCCTTTCCCATATGCAGTGTGTGGCATGGAGGCTGGGCGCTTGCCCAGGATGGAGATGGGTGGAGCAGGGAAAGCCATGCCAGGCTTTTGGGACAGATGCAGTCCCAGCTTGCCTGTTGTCCTGGGCGGGAGCCACAGGATGGGCTTCTAAGGGCACAGCTGAATTGCTTAGGCAGCAAACCTGCTTCAAGTGAAAGGTGCGGGGGAGCCTCTAGCAAAGGCCCCGCCCACGCTGCACTGCCCCCTCCCCCTGTAAGGAATCATAGGAGGGTCTTTCCCTTGTGCTTTGACAGGAGTCCTTGTGCCTCATGCCCCCTCTGCCAACTTCTCGCATGCCGACAGGGACCGCTGCTTCTGGAACTGCCGCTCTGGCTTCAGTATCTGCGCCTTGCAGAACAGCACCTGCTACATCATCTTCTTGGCAGTTCCTGGTGGCAGCGCGGGGCTCCACGGGCTTGGTTCAGGCCCACGGTTGTCCGACACTGAGGAGACAGGAACATGGGGAGGGGGCTAGAGCCAGGACTGGGCTGTCCACGTCTGGGGGGACTGGAGGCTCCTACCCCCTTGGCTGGTGCTGAGCTGCACCACCTAGTTACATTGCCACGGGCTTCTGAGAGCTGTCCAGGGTGCTGATCAGGGCAGGCTGCCCAGCGAGGTGCCTTAAGGCGTTCACATGTATACGTGCACCTAAATTGCCTTAATGCACCTTAGGCTAAGATGCATTAAGTTTAAGCATGTGTAAATTCACATGTAGACATATCCAGTAGGAGATGGAAGAAGAGAGGAAAGAAATTGTGTGCCCCTGCACTGATTTTTCTCTTGTTGTGGCTGTTCCTGCCCATTCTGATTTCTTTTGCATACAAGAAAATTTAGGCTCATTAATGCACTTCTGGCTGCACATCTACACGTGTGTCTCTGTCAGGCATAGCCCAGTCCAGGGACTTTATCCCTTTACAGGAGGAGCCAGGGGGAGCTCCAGGTTCCCCTGGGTGCCAACCTTGTGGGCTGGCAGGGGGCATGTAGGCTGGTCCCAATCTCCAGCAGGTGGGGAGAACTGTGCCGGCTTCAGGGACAGCTGCCTCCCTGCCATGTGAGGATCAGGACCTGTCCCAATCCTCACATGGCAGAGACATAGCTTCTCCTGCAGCCAGCACAGCTCTCCTGGCAATGTGGGGATCGAGATGGGTCCCAGTCCCCATGTGGTAGGGAGATAGCTGTCCCTTCAGCTGACACAGCTTCCCCTGCTATTAGAGTAAAGCAGAGTAAATCCTGCGCATTTGTTGGTGGTGACACTTTACTGTGCATTACATTAGTCTGATGTACAGTAAAGTGTCTTGTCTAGATGCACCCCAGGAGAAGGTAAATAAATGGAGAATCAAAAAGTAGCTGCCTCCACAGACATCTCTGGCTGATGTGGTCCCAAGAGCTAAGCATTCACTGTGCAGTTGAAGACAAAAGCACCTTTTTGCCTACCCAGTATGACTAGAATTTTTTGCCTTATTGCCTTTACTCAGCATTCATACCAAATGTGTGGTCATTCTGGAGCTCCAGACTTAATATCTGCACATGGTTGTAGGATTTGGCTGGGTCCTGGCAAGAAGATTTTGATTTTTTTTGGTGAAAAATGATGGAGATCCATTTGGCTGCAAACAGTTTGACACTAGGCAAAGCATCAAGAGTTTCATGAGACACTAATCTTATTACACAATAGTATTGCAGCTCTTTCTAAATGTGAAGTGCGGTGTTAAGGCACATCAGCCCCTTACATATAAAAGGTTATACTGTGTGGGCATAATAATCCTGCTATTGATATTGTGTATCACAGCAGGAGGTTGTTATTCCTGATTGTTCTTTGTTTTTAGCATTCCTTTTGGGAGCAAAAGACAATACCAGAAAATCTGCCATCCCCAGCAGACAAATACAAACTAAAATACCAGCAGTATGAAGCAGAAATGAAAGAGGGATATAAACAGTATTCTCAGAGAACTACAGAAAAAAGAAAAGACAATGGTCAGTCTCAGGAGTGTTCACAGAGGATAGCTAACAAAGAGGTACTATATCCTGTGAAATCACAAATGTACATTTAAGTTTAATTATAGTGTATATGTGTTGTAATGTTCTGTTACACAGCAATAGGTTTTAACCATACTTTATAGGTATTTCTTTGATGCCGCACACTGTGGGATCTGAAAAACTGAATAGGGAGTAAATAGAAGAAGCATATTTGAATTTCTTCCCCTCATGAACATTAGAAGCATATGCAAGCTACTGTATAGGCTTGTAGTCTCTGATGGGGTAACAAGCATGGGCCCTAGTAAGGCGCTTCTACCAGACAAAGGGACAAAGTTAATATGAGTTTTTCAAGGAGCATTCTTATTTGCATTTTTATTGAAGGAAGAGTCTTAATTGGTGTTGCTAAAAAGTATAATGGTAGAAACTGTACTAGACTGTGGAATTTCATTTAAACCTTTCTTTTTAAATATTTGTTTATAACCATAACTTTACATAGAACTTCTTAAAGGAGTTGGAAGTGGGAGGAAGGAAAGACATGACCCCAGCTTTAAAGACAAACTGCAAGTTGAAATAGCAGAATATGGGATTAAAATAAATATAATCACTTTAGACTGCAAGGTCTTTTGGGACAAAAATTGCTCAGTGGGTGCATATGAACATGAGGAAGAATTTGTTTACTGTCCGAGCCCCCAAGGTCTGGAACAGCTGCCATCGGAGGTTGTTCAAGCACCTACATTGAACACCTTCGAGAGTAAATTGTATGCTTATCTTGCTTGGATCCTATGACCCCAGCTTACTTCCTGCCCTTTGGGCGGGGGGCTGGACTCGATGATCTTCCGAGGTCCCTTCCAGCCCTAATATCTATGAAATCTATGTGTGTATTTTGGGGCTAATGCAATATGAATAATAATAAAATACTAATGAATTCTTTATTTGTTTTAATATTGAGGTGGCTTAGAGAGACAGTACAAGGGGGGTGGGGCAACAGCAAACAAACAAAATGACCAATGCTAGTTTAGTTTGAGGAAGTACAGTGAGGATCCTGAATGAGCAGAAAGAGATGCTATTCTGCGTGTGAGGACGAAAACATCCTATACATCAAGGTAGGAATAAAAGAAGAGGCAAAGTGAGCCATATGCATAAAGAATGGGTAAGCAGAAGTAGGAGGAGGACAGATGACCCCTGAAGACATAAGAGCTAGGTGGAGCCTCAGTCAGGGATGAGAAGTTTGGCAGCCAATAGAAGAAGTACAAAAGAAGTGACATGCCTGAAGTGAGTGACAAGAAAAGAACATTTTAGTTGCTGAGAGTTCAATAGCATGGAAAGGGGAAGATTTGTAACGCAGAGAGAATAAAGTTGTCTGGGATAATGTAGCTGTTGTGTACGTTACATTGTGTTGGTTGTCCTTAAGAGACAGTCTACTTGAAATCACATTTGTCTTTGAAACTGTGCCTACCAGCATTGTAAGTAAAACCTGAAGTGAAAAAGATGGAAGGGAGAAAGAGATCCATGTTTCTAAATCCATTTACTCTTTACTTTTGATAATGCAAGGAGGCGTGTGTGTGTGTGTTAATGGTCATTGTTGCTGCTTCTCCTGCACAGTCATTGATATGCGGGTCCCTGGGATACACGCTCTGTTCCAGAGCCTCCAAGCAGTGGCGTAACTAGGGCAGAGTGAGCAGGCCATCTGTCCTGGGCACTGACTATGATGGGCACCAGAATCTTCCCTGCTAGGAGTCTTTGCTGCAGCAGGAGGATCCCTGAGCTTCCCCTGCCCAGCCACAGGAGCCTCGCAGCGCAGCACTGAGCCAAACAGTGAATCTGGAGGGTGGGTGGTGAGTGGAGCAAACAGATTGGTGCCCTTTCCCCTCCTCCTCTGCAGGTACCTTTGCTAGAGCAGAGACAGCCCTGCTCCCAATATGTGTGTATATGGGGGGTTAGCAAATGGGACACCAGGATATGCTGCCAGGGAGCCTGGCCATGGGGCTGCTGCCAGAGAGGCCACTGCTGACACTAAGCAACCTGAGCAGGTAAGACTTTCCTTAACCTCACCCATGCCACCTATGCTGTCTGCTGTGGTTGGCACACTCTCACCCCACCCTAGGCTCTTGAGTTTGCTGTGTCTCTGCTTGGTCGGGGCTCTGTTGGGAACAGCAGCAGTAAAACAGTTCTTGCATCAGACTTCAAAATAAAACATAGAGTATTCATTAAGCATAATATCTGTATAATAAAACTATGTTTTGGTTTAGGCCTTGGGAATATAAGACATGTTTGTATAAATTCACCAAATCCTTAGCTTTCAGCATACTTCAGGTTTAAAAATTGAAACTTATGGTTACTGCTTCTGAAAAACATTCTGTGTTTCTTGAATCTTGTTTCTCAATAAAATACACATGCTATGTCCCTCCACCTTGTCTTTGAAGTGCTATTAACTTCTGTAAAATTGGAAGACATTTTTGTTGCAAGTAAAGTCTGAACAAGAAGAATGATTTTTAATATTTTGTGTAGGAGAAATGTGTTGTGTTCTACAGCTGATTGACCAAGACAGTAGAAATAAAATGCAGTGTGTTTCTGTCTAGGATCCACAACCAGAAGACAGGTTTGGTGAAGATCTTACAGCTCTTGATGAGAAAGCCCTCTTACAGCAGTGCTATACAAGCAATCCATATAATATACAGCACAGCATAAAGAAGTTAGAAGCTGTAAGTTTCCTGTACAGTATTAAATTGTTAGGTAGATGTACTCATATGAGAGGCCTGTATATATATATTTGGATACACTATAAAGGTCTGGAATTTTTGGAAATACTCAGGCCTAGATCCTTCTTAAGAGTTAGCTGCCTAAATAACCTTGAGGTTCTGGGCCTTGGGTATAGATAGCCATCTCCTATCTGATATGTATAGCTGAGTAGAGAGATCTCAGCTAGTTAGGGTACCAGAAGTAGTATAGCTTTGTTAGCACAAAGCTCATCCTAGGCTACTTAGCCATGCTGAGTAGGAGAATATATTTTCTGGGATAGAAAATGTGATTCTGCTGCTTCTGATACCTGAGCTAGAGTTCGTACCTTACAGACAAATGATCAATGCTTAACTGTTCTGTAAATCAGTTCATCATTGATTTAATTGGAAATGGATTTAGGTCAGTTGCTGCACACTTTTGAGAAGTCTCACCTATGTGTTTCTATACATACTTTTGCATATATACATTAATATTAATTAAAACATGTCTGATCTGGCATTGGCAAGGACATATATGTGGGGTTTTTTGCAAAAAGAATGATGCCCAAATAAGCCTGAATTTGGTGTTTAGGAGTATTTATGATATGAAACTTTGAAGTCTGGCTTTGCAGGATTTACTACTGAAGATGCACAGTGATTATTTTCTTAATTTATTTTTGTTCAGATGTAAGCTCCTGTTGAAAAGATTAGCATGCTAACATTTGTGCTGTGTGTATTAAGCCATTAAAATTTTTGTGACACTGTA